CCTTGGTCCACTCCTACTTTACAACCAACATCCCCTCCACAGCACCTTCCCCTGCAACCACAGAATGGCTAACACCTGCCCATTTATTCCTCCCTCTTCAGTATCCAAGGGTACAAACACGCCTTCCACGTAAAGCATAGCGTTACCTGCACTTCACTCAATCCAGTCCACTGCATTCGCTGCTCACAATATGCTCTCCTCTACATTGGGGAAACAAAGCATAGACTGGGCGACCACTTCGCAGAACACCTTCATTCTGTCTGCAAAAAACACCCTGAGCTTCTAGTTGCCTGCCACTTCAACACACCACCACACTCTTTGGCTAACATCTCTGTATCAGGCTTGCTGGAGTGCTCCAGCGAAGCAAAGCACAAGTTGGAAGAACAGCACCTCATTTTCCACTTAGGAACTCAACAGCCTTTTGGACTCAATATCGAGTTCAACAGTTTTAAGGCTTGAGGCACCTTCTCCCATGACCTTATCCCAATCCCCACACACCGGGCCTTGTTATCACGTGGTCTGCTATTACACAAAACCCAATGTTAGCCACTAATTGTCCCTGTTAGTAGGTATTCGTTCTCCTAGGCTGACCATTACACACCCTTTGTCTGTCTAACTGTTCTTCTCTTCGGGTGCTATCTCCATCTAGTGTTTACTCATTACCCCTTCCCCCCCACTCCACGTTCTGCATAAAAGACAACCTTTTCCGAGCAACCATCTGTACTGAAAAAGGGTCATTGTACCCGAAATGTTAACTCTGATTTCTCTCCACAGATGCTACAAGGTCTGCTGAGCTTTTCCAGCTATTTCTGCTTTTTAATTCTGATTTCCAGCATGTTCTTTCAGGTTTATACTGTTACAAGTTGAGATAAACAGGCCAGCTTTAGCCCCCTGTGTTTGTGTAATAAACTTATGTTCTTTTGTTAAAAGTACATTGGCAGCCTCTTTTGATTATGTTCAATAATTAGCCACCATGATAACCAAATGAAAGAAAAGACATTAAACTTATGGTCAATCACTCTGTGATCTGGCTTGTCCACTTTTACTTTCAGCTGCAATCATAACAAAGTATGGGCTCTCGGCTGGATAGGAATGCATTGAAGTTAAAAGAGACATTCACCAATCTTTTAAAGAAACATGCATTTGGTAGAACTGAGCACAAAAACAGGAAGAGTTGTTGAGAAATATGACTGGAACTGAAACCAGACTGCAAGTTAAAAATATCTTTGACTTTTGTTAAGACTTTTTCTGGGACTAGAAAATGTAACAGTTGATTATTTTAAGGCAGTGTTTATCTGTACTTACTCCTCAGCACCACCAAAGGCAGCCTTACTTTAAATCTTTGACTAAAGTTAGCAGATCGATTGAAAGTAGAAATAAAAACAGGATCTTGTAAGAATTAAATGATTTGAGTCATTACGCAGCATTTCACCTGTGGGTTAGGAAATTACAATCTCAAGTCACTTGGGTTTTAGGAAAATACAGGATAAAATACAAGAACAATTTTGGTGATCAAGATTTCATGAAAACATCATGAAATTTTGTTAGGCATATAATGCATGTTTTTATTTATTCATGGGAAGAGGGTGTCACTGGCTTGGCCAGCATTTGTTACCTTATTGCCTAGAGGGCAGTTAAGAGTCAACCACATTGCTGTGAGTCTGAAGTCACATGTAGACCAGACCAGGTAAGGATAGCAGCTTCCTTGTCTCAAGGACATTGGTGAACCAGATGGTTTTCCCAACAATCGACAATGGTTTCACAGTCATCATTAGATTCTTCATTCCAGATATTTTGTTTGTTCTTGAATCCAGATTCCACCATCTGCCAGGGTGTGATTTGAACCCATGTCTCCAGATCATAGAATCCCTACAGTGTGGAAACAGGCCCTTCAGCCCAACAAATCCACACCAACCTACAGAGGAGCCCACCCAGACACATTCTCCTATAACCCACTTAATCTACATATCCCTGAACACTACAGACAATTTAGCATGGCCAATCCACCTAGCCTGCACATCTTTTGAATGTGGGAGGAAACTGGAGCATCCGGAGGAAACCCAAGCATGCACAGGGTGAATGTGCGAACTCCACACAGGCACTCACCCAAGGAGGGAATCACTGAGCCACCATGTTTCCCCATTTCCTGTATTCTGTGGATTAATAGTCAAGCAATAATGGCCCTAGGCCATCACCTGCCTTTCCATGTCAAGTAGTGGGAAAACACCAACTATCAATTAAACTTCTGCCTTAATTGTGAGGCCAGCTTTCAAAAAATGATTTAGCAACATCTTAATTGATTATGTAGGACCTGTATCTAGCATCAAGAGTGAGAATAAATATCTTTTAGCTATTATGGATGTTTCAACAAGATTTCCTGAAGCAATGCAATTGGGGAAAATGGTAGTGGAAAAGTTAGTTCAGTTTTTTTGGTAAGATATGGATTACTCAAAGAAATACAATCAGATTAAGGTCAAATTTTGTATGGCAAATATTCAAATGAATAATTCATGCTTGGGAATAAAATATTTCAGGTCTTCAGCTTATCCACAATCTCAAGGAGCATTGGAAAGATGGTGATGCTGAACTTGTATAAAACACTTGTTAGACTTCACCTCTGGACATCGTGTTTTAGGAAGAATGTAAACACATCGAGAGAGCTCAGAAGAAATTTACAAAAATGGTACCAGGTATGAGAAACTTCAGTTATAATGTTAGATTGAAGACGTTGGAACTGTTCTCTTTGGAGTGAAGGGGACTCAGAGAAGCTCTGATAGAGGTTTCCAAAATCTTCAGTTTTTTTACTTCAGTTGTAGGACTGGACTATTGCTGGCTGGGCCAGTATTTATTGCCCGTCCCCAGTTGCCCTTGAAAAGGTGGTGGTGAGCTGCCTTCTCGAGTTGTTGCAATCCGTGTGCCGTATGTTGACCCACAATGCTATTAGGGAGGGAATTTCAGGATTTTGCCTCAGCAACAGTGAAGAAACAGCAATATATTTCCAAGTCAGTTGGTGAGTGGCTTGGAGGGGAACTTGCAGGTGGTGTATCTCCCATGTATCTGCTGTCCTTGTCCTTCTAGATGGAAAAGGTTGTGGGTTTGAAAGGTGCTGTCTAAGCATCTTTAGTGTGCTGGATAGCGTGGATAGGGAGGAACTGTTTCCACTTGTAAAAGGACATGAATGAGCAGGCATAGATTTAAAGCAAATGAAGCAAGGGCAATATAAGAACAACCTTTTGCACTCGGCAGTAGTGAGGGTATAGAATGCACTGCCTGGAAGTGTGGTAGAGGCAGGATCAATTGAGACATTCAAGAGGGCATTGAATGATTAGTTGAATATAAATAGTGTGCAAGGATATGGGGAAAAACCAGGAGGTTGGCACTAGGTTATGAAGCTCATTTGAAGAGTGAATGCAGGCATGGTGGGGCCAAATGGCCTCCTTCTGTGCCATTAGGATTCTGTATCTTCTTAGCTGGCATGAAGCTTTAAGGAGAAAGATCAGAGCTTATTTTCAATAATGTCTGAATGATTGGGATAAAGGAATAACCTTGTTACTGTTTGCCATTAGTGATGCCACTAAGTCCACAGGATTCAGTCCTTTTCAAATGATATATGGGCATGATTTGGGAGGATTCCTTAAACTAATTAGAGAAAAAAAATGATAAGCTCAAGCCTAGCGACTGCACTTCCGACCTAAGTTTCTGAGAAAAACTAACCAAATTATGTGATAGTAGGAACTGCCGATGCTGGAGTCTGAGGTAACAAGGTGTGGAGCTGAATGAACACAGCAGGCCAGGCAGCATCAGAGGAGCAGGAAAGCTAACGTTTTGGGTCTGGACCCTTCTTCAGAAATGGGGGAGGGGAAGGGGGCTCTGAAATAAATAGAGAGAGGGGGAGGCAGTGATAGAAGGTGGATAGTGGAGCAGATTGGTGGAGAAGAGACGGACAGATCAAGGAGGTGGGGATGAAGCTAGTAAAGGTGAGTGTAGGTAGGAAGTGGGGGTGGAGGTTGGTCAGTGAGGTGAGAGGAGCGAATAGGTGGGAGAGAAGACGGACAGGTCAAGGAGGCGGGGACGAGAGGGGGTGCTGGTCTTGGGATGAGGTCGGGGGCGGGGAGATTTTGAAGCTCGTGAAGTCCACATTGAGACCATTGGGTTGTAGGGTTCCAAGGTGGAACATGAGGTGCTGTTCCTCCAGTTTTCGGGTGGCATCGTTGTGACACTGGAGGAGGCCCAGGATGGACATGTTGTCCAGGGAATTGCGGGGGGGGTGGGGAGTTGAAGTGGTTTGCGACTGGGAGGTGTTGTCCTTTGTCGCGAATCGAGCGTAGGTGCTCCACAATGCGGTCTCTGAGCCTCCGCTTGGTCTCCCCGATGTAGAGGAGGCCACATCGGGAACAGCAGACACAATAGACCACATTAGCGGATGTGCAGGTGAACATCTGTTTAATGTGGAAGGTTTTCTCGGGGCCTGGCATGGAGGTGAGGGGGGAGGTGTAGAGGCAGGTGTAGCACCTCCTGCAGTTGCAGGGAATGGTGCCAGGGGTGATGGGGCTAGTGGGGAAAAGTCTTCAGAAACGTCTTCGGAAAAGAAGGGTCCAGACCCGAAATGTCAGCTTTCCTGCTCTTCTGATGCTGCCTGGCCTGCTGTGTTCCTCCAGCTCCACACCTTGTTATCTCACATGTCAACCTGTCTTTTCAACTCAGAACACAATTCCAAATTTTCATTTAGGGTTATTTAATATGAGCACTTTCCTCTTTACGTTCAGGAATATAAATACAAATTCAAGGGTCTGGCCTTGTGACTTGTTACTTCCTTTTTTTTAAAAATATAAAGGAAACCTGTCACTTACTGGGCACAAATCATGGTGAAAAAATGATTTATGAAGCTATAGTTTGTCTGACAAGTGGTCCTTATTATAACTGATGCCAATATTTATTTTGGTTTAAATTTTAGCCAGAATATAACGCAGAGAGTGCTTATATTAATCATTTTTCAGTTTGCTACATTCCAGGTGATTCCTCCACATTTGTGAGTTCTTGAGACGGGCGTGGACATGGGGCCGGAACGTTTGTTGCGAATTAATGTTGTTGCAGGGAAGCAAAGCAGGGTAGGTTGTCCGTTTAAATATGAAGTCCCGCGGCGGCTTTGTTGGTGATGCTGGTGCCTTCAGCTCAGGGATGGAGTTTGATCGCGTTTGACAACAAATCAGGTTAGATCACGCTGTAGGAAGGGAGGAAGAGGGAAGTATCAGAGTGGCGAAAACCAGTCGTAATCTTCGAACTATCAACTAGGCCGTGCGGGGCACAGGCCTCATAACAAGTAACAGATAAATGCAGAGCCTGCTCTTTCTAAGAGAACAGGATTACATTCTTACCAAGACTTGTGTATTTAAAACACTTTCTTATTAATCTTGACCATCTGATTAATAGGATATCAGTCGCAATTGAGTAGATATTCAACGTTTCATGACTTATTGTGTTACTCGTAGAGCCATAGAGTTGTACACCATGGAAACAGACCCTTCGGCCCAACGCGTCCATGCCGACCAGATATTCCCAAATTAATCTAGTCCTATTTGCCAGCCTTTGGCCCATATCCCTCTAAATCCTTCTTATTCATATACCTATCCAGATGCCTTTTAAATGTTGTAATTGTACCAGCCTCCACCACTTCCTGTGGCAGCTTATTCCATTCTTGCACCACCCTCTGTGTGAAAATGTTGCCCCTTAGGTCCCTTTTAAATCTTTTCCCCTTCACTTTAAACCTATGCCACTAGTTTTGGACTCCGCTATCCAGGGGAAAAGACCTTAACTATTCATGCCCCTCAAGATTTTATAAACTTCTATAATGTCACCCCGCAGCCTCTGATGCTCCAGGGAGAATAACCCCAGTCTACTCAGCCTCTCCCTTTTGTTCAAACCCTCCAACCCAGCAACATCCTTGTAAATCTTTTCTGAACCCTTTCAAGTTTCACAATATCTTTCCTATAGCAGGGTTACTCTTGTAGGTGTAATTCCCCCAAATCCTTTGTCTTCTATTCTTGTTTCTTTTCCTTTCTGTCTCCAATTGGCTACCAAACACTTTCTTTTGATACTTTATGTAAGTCTCCCACCTCCTGTGTCTTCCTTGCATTCTCTGTGTTTTTGTGCATGCTGCATCAGGCAGTCGCCAGTCACCACTTTTCCTCTTGCCTTTGCAAAGAGAGTTAGAGGTAGACTCAAGGCTCCATCCCTGTGTTCCATATGGAACTCATCTGGGCATCAGTATGCTTGGCCTGCATCATGCAAATGATGTCACAGCAAACTGCATCCATATGTTTAACTGCCAGACTGCCTTTGAAGGGAATGGAATTGAAATATTCACATCATGTGTCATGTATATAGTATGAATAGTAATTTATGTGGGTCTCTGTGTGTAAATATGTTAGGTAAATAGTTCAGTTGCTATTAGATTGATTGCCTTAGCATTTCAAGCAAGCACAGTTTTAACATTGTACATATAGACCCTGGAGCATTACTGAAATCTATCATTAGAACTAAGTTTGTTGGATTTTCTTCATTTAAGAGAATAAATTGGAATGGAAAGCCACTCAGCCTAGGCACAGTTTTGCTGACATCGTCAGTGATATCCACATCCCATGAAATAATAAATAAAATTAGACTGTTCTCTTTTTTCACTCATTTGTTTTTGGTTTCTCCATGAACAGACCATGTTTAACAACACTTATACATTGGGTAATTAGAGCATGGAGCCTCTTTGCTTCAGACAATAGGTTTCTGGTAACTTGTGCTGTGTGAGAAGTAAGGGAGAGGTGATCCATGGTGTGTTGGACCAGACTCATCCTCAACTTTTAAAACTCCCTATTTAACCCTTCCCCATTGCAGCAATTGAATGAGAGGCGGCTTGATTTGAGTTAAACTCTTTTATTCAAGCGTAGTTTCCTGTGGTAGAAGTTAGAATTCATTAAATGCATGTCATTTTGACTAGGGCAGGATTCAGTTAAGATTCCCTTGGGAGTGGACGACTGAAATAGGTAGCATTTGTTCTGTTTGATTTTTCTAGCCTTGAATTAAAAGGAGTTCTCTTTATAGGTATGTTCCAAAAAAATGCCACAAGTAAATGAAGAAAGTGAGGAGCGAGGGCTAACTGAAGAGGGCCTTATTCCACCAGGTCATAAGCAGCAGTTATGTAAGTAAACTCCTGTATGTATTCTTTTGAAGAAAAAGCTATCACTAATGGCATAACTGACTCAGACGATGGTGTCTAATTCTCAATTTGTATTAAGTTAGTAGATCTCTGTTAAGGCAACAGTTGAAACAAGGATGTTGCTTGTGTCTGTACCTTAGGCTAAGGGGAAAGAGGAAAAATAAACCAGTGTTTCCATTCTTGCCTGTGATTAAGCAGCCCTAATGGAATGGCTAATACATGGCCAGTATGTGCGATTACATTACAAGATATTAACACTACAGCAACATTTTGTATTTTTCTAACACATTTAACATAAATGAAACATTCCAAAGTACCACATAAAGCACTCAAACAAATGGGCATGATGAGTGTTGGCAGTGCAGTTTCTTAGCTATTTTTCACAGATGCTTTTAAGTAGGATTGAATGAAATGGAACAGAAAAAACAAGGACATCATCCAGCACCATATACACTCTTGCCAATGCTGCCATTGAATAGTTGAAGCTATGCAAAGATAAAGATCATTACTATATTAAAATAGTGTTCTCCTACGTTTGTTCCATTTTGGAGCTTCGTGTTGTACTTGCAAAATTGTGCTTGAGTGTGCGGGCAGGAAACTACACAGCTTTCATAATTCTTTCACTTCCCAGCAGTACTGAGAATGTTTCAGTATAAAGTCTCTTAGCAACTAACCATGTTTAACATTTTAGCACCAAGACAGAATTCAGTGAGCATCCACAGCTTTATGCATTAATCTGATATTTAACTTGCTTTTGTCTTAAGCTTTAAATATTGTGTAAATTTTATTGTTTTTTTTCTTTTAGTCTGTGAGGACTGCCAGGAGTTTTTTGAAGATAGATGTCCAGTGCATGGCCTGCCATCTTTTATAAAAGATACGCCTGTGGAGTTTGGGTGGCCCTGCCGAGCCTTCTACACACTCCCTCCTGGTCTGGCAGCAGGGCCTTCCCAGACTCAGAAGAAAAAGCTGGGCATCTGGTGTGTTTCTAAGGCACTTCCCAGAGGTGTTTTCTTTGGACCACTCGAAGGAAAACTAGAATGTGATGATGTAAATGGAATACCATGTTTCATTTCAAAGGAGGTATGGAATATGTTAGTAAATTCTCCTATACAGAGACTGCATGATAGATGGGGGATAACAAATAGTTACATTCATCAGTCCAAATTGGCAATTAAAGGTCAGAATGATGAATCTTTAAATTACTGTGGAGATCTTTCATTCCCTGGTGTAGAAATGCATGTTGTTCATTGAAATTTTTATCTTTGCCTTGCTGCTTTTTAGGTTTTGCTGGTGATTTGCATATTTTTAAATAACGAATCCAGAATCAAATCCCATTGTAATTGTCAGTATGCTTGAGTCCTTGGCATTTAACATGAGCACAGCAGTTTTAAGACGTGCCAAGAAGTCAAATTCATAACCATCCACCTCCCATCGGATTCCAGGAGCTGCCCGATACGGACAAGAGTAAACTGAGATGTAGAAAAAATTGCAAAAACTGTCTGGCAGGAATGAAATAAATCACTCCTGGTTGGCTGCACTCTAATATTCACTTACTGGTATTCTGTAAGTTAGCTCCATACAAGTAAGCAAAATTAGGATGTGACCGATGATGGCTTGTCTGGTGGAAAGGTGTTCTTGTGAATGATGTTTTGTTAACAAATGACTATTGTTGAAATGAGTTAGATTTATAGCATGTATTTGGGAGAGTTATTAGTTTTAATTAAGGTCTTAAATAATCACACGTTTCTGACTTAACAGACCTACAACATATAAATAATGTTGACATCCTTTATTAAAGTGAGGTGTGCAAAGTTGCAGTGCAGTGTAAGTGCCAGGCAACTAGACAGACAGCCTTTGTGTGATAAACAGTGACAGTGGTCTGACTGTGAATACACAATTAATCTGGGTGTTTTTCATTCTTTCATTCTTTCATCCACTATGACTGACTGATTATCTTTACCACAGTTTAGAGAAAATGGTGACAAAGTAGAATTACCAGAATTACAGAGGGTCAACCAGTCATTCTCAAACTGGATGAGGTAATATATTCTTTATATATACATATAATACACTCAGGCACAATCTTGGAGAATATTTGTTGTTACATTTTGATTTATCCTGAATTGTAATTGTGTGGCTAACTTCTCATTTCAGTTTTAGAGGATTGAAATATGAAAGTCCTGTAAAGGGCTAAGAAGGTAATGTGTGTTGGCATCTTGATCCAGTATAGTGAGTCACTAGCTCAAACCTGAAAGCATTCAACAAAGTAATTGTTTCTAGTTTCGAGTGCTGTTCTAACAATGGAGGCTTCCAAATACTGACATGCTTCCAATGTTTTTATCTGCTGAAATTACTTACTTGTTCTGTCATCAATGTAATTTGATATTCATAATTTTAAAATCAACTGACTTAGTAAGATAGTCACTCCTCAATCAGTGTTACTAAGTTCTGGACCTACCTCAGCCTTTCAGCGTGATCAAACGGAATTTAAAGACTGATGAGTCCTCCCATAGTTGTTGATCGTTCCAGGGCTAAATAAAGCAGCAAAAGTTTAATCTACTTGATTCTTTTTCCTTTTCTTAATTATTAGTCCCCTCGCAAAAGTGAGAAGTTGCTGCAGTCACGCTGTTTGTTTTTTTTTCTGACTTTCCCAATGCACAGAGTGCAAGGACAATGAATTTTAAAGATGCACAAAGCTTGTAAGATAAAAACACCCTGAAGATAGTCATGAAACGGTCAAATTGACTGTTACTTATTCTACGTGCTTTTAATTTGTGACCACCTGCTTATCTTTTGAATAATGTCATTCTAGTATTTTAAAATATTTTTAAATCAAATTTAAAAAGGGGCTTCAGTACCAGTCACTGCATGACTTGTTTGTAAACTGATGATTTACTCACTTCTGCTAAAATATTTGCTGATTTACTCTCTCAAATCTAAATGTTTCATCCTAGATAGATCTCAAAAGTGGATTACATGGGAACTATTTCATGATGTAAAGGGTTCAGATGTATTAGAGGATACTGGAGAATTAGCACAGTATGAATCTGCTCAAAAGGTTCAGAAGGTGTTATAAACAGTGAAACTACTTTGATAATTTATTAGCAAAATCCCTTATTTCTCCAAGTTACATTCCTCCGTCCCTCCTTGTCTCTGCCCCACCCTCCAGCACTTCAGGGATATCTCTGTGCTTCTGCTTTGCCTCAGAATCAGGACATACATGAGCGTAGTGTGGGTATTTTAAATCAATTATTATACATTTGTAAATAGTTCAGTAATCGGCACTGTGATTTGTTCAGATGGTCAGCTGTTAGTATCTACAGAAACCCAGCCTTAAAAGTTGGCTAGTAAACTTGATGATTTTTCTTTCCCCAGATATGCAAACAAGGCGAAAACAAAAGCAGAAAGCAATGCAGTCATTTTCCAGTTTTATGGAAAAATCTATTACAGGGTTTCTAAGACTATTGAACTGGGCCAAGAACTTCTCCTATGGCCAGAGGAGAATCAAGTTCAAGTCACACACAAAATAAAAAATGCACATACGGACAAGGAGACAGTTGAAGTTCTCACAGATAAATGCGGTATGCAATCTGTTATCATACTTCATTGTAAATACCATGTAGTTGATGGTTTCCATAGTTCCATAAAGAGGATGTACAATTTATGTTTCTGAAGTTCCACTTGGATACAATGTAGAATCATCATCCATACTTGCACGTGGAATCTACTACTTTGATTTAAAGGTTGCTGTGTTTGTGGATACTAGTGATGTGTATTTGGGAGTATTCCTGCAAGAATACTGTCATGTGACTGTATACACGCTACATTGCACCATAGTGTTTGGTTCATTCGCTCCTTATCAATAGAACACACTGTCTGTTTCCACCACTCTTCTGGTTGTTGAGTTGCAGTGTTTTTCCATTCCCAGTAGATAGAATAAGTTCTCTGTTTCTACCACTCCCAGTAAATAGGAAGTTTATTTTTGGTCCCCCTTGCTAGATAGGGCAAAGTCTCTGGTTCAACTGCTTTTAATAAGTAAATCTCAATCTCTGGTTCTGCCATTTTTGTTTCAAGGATTAAATAATGGGGACCAGTTGCATCAATTTGGGTTTATTTCATTGAGTTTAGAAGTTAGTGGAGTAGTCTAATTGAGGTGTTTAAAATGATGGCAGGATTCAATTTGCCCAATATAAAGAACCATTTCTTTTAGTGGAGGATTCCAGAACAGCCGACCGTTATATTAAAACTAGAGCCGTACTAATCAGCGTGAAATCAGGAGCTGGTCAAAATCTAGAACTCTCTCCTGAAAAAAAAAACTTTGAATGCTGTGATTTTCAAGACTGGGGTCAATACATTTTTGATGGGTAAAGTTATCAAGGGATAGGGATCAAAAATGGGTAAATGGAGCTGATGTACAAATCAGTCATGGTCTGATTTGATTGACTGGATGGGTTAATACCTATCCTTATACTTGTATTCCATTCCTGCTAGAAAGGAAACAGTCTTTTCCTCAGCCAGTCCTGCTAAGTAGAATAACACCTAAGGTGCCATGAAACTAGCAGATGAATGTTCAGTGTCTACAATTAAAACTCACATCTTTGCTATGTGAACCCATGAATGGAGATGTTCAGCTATAGTCACTTGATCTTCATGATGTTCGGCTTTTACAAATTTGTTTGCTCCCACAGTGTCTTTAGGTGGTATTTTAACAAAAGACCGTTGCCAAGAACAAGTTAACAGTAAGCAGCTGATTTCTGCTTCACACATTTGAGTTTTGAAACACAATACTCAGCGTATACTTCTACTTTAAATATTAATTATGCTTAGATAATAGCTTCAGTCCAATAGAGTTGCTGTGGAGAGGTTTGTTACTGTACAATTTTATTGCTTGAGCTAGATAGGTAATTTCCTATCATTACATAGAGACATGCTTGTATATTGAATGCTCTGACTTTTTGCTAACAGATGTCCTGAATGAAGAGCCCAAGGATAGTACATCATCACATGCTGATGACATGCCAGCCGGGTCTCCTCTGTCCATGCCACTGTGCACCAAATCACTGATAGCTGAAAAACAGCCAGAAAGCGAGAACATAGTTAAAATAGATCAGCCAGTTAAGAGATCACAGAGGCTTCAGTTCAAACACAAAGCTCAGAATACATCATCAGAGAAGAGAGTGAGCTGGGTTGCTTCGAGACGACAATCAAAATCGAATGGGGCCAATAACAGTGAGGAAGTGCAGTCCCCAGCTCCTGTCTCCAAACAGGGTAATAATACTAAGAAACAGCATGACCCTGAAAATGACAAATTGGCACAAGACGCTGGAGAAATCAAGTCCAAAAGACAGAATAAAATTAATCAGTGTGAACTTGGCGAGAGGACCTTGAGGTCATCGATGTGCAGCAAGGGTCTTGGAACCTCTGCAGCTGGGAAAGCTCAAAAGCACACTGGACTCCATTCACAGTTGCTGAACCAGCAGCTACCAAAACAGGGCACTAGAAAGAAAGCAATGTTGAGAGACAACCAGGAAAATCTTAAAGAAGCAAAAGAGAAATGCTGCTCTCAAAACACAGAAGTCAAATCTTCAGGGAATCATGGAGCAAAAGAGAAATCAGAGAGTGATTTGGCCACGCCACGCAAAGAGAGAGAGGGGCTCAAGCATCCTGCTGAAAATGGAGAACAACTTCAAGCTATTGGCAAACGTAAGCCAAAACCCAAATCCGGGAGCAGGAGCAAGTTCTGCCGGCGTGACAGTTCCCAGATTGACCCCAGTGAGAGGAGGTACAGGTGTGACGACTGTGGAAAGGGTTTCATCCAGTTGTGCCACCTGAAGAAGCATCGGTTCACTCACACCGGACACAAACCTTACCTGTGCACAGAGTGTGGGAAGAGCTACAGCTCGGAGGAGAGTTTCAGAGGTAAAAGGAAGGGGCTACCCAGAATTTATCGTGGTCATTTTCACACCAGAAAGGGAGTTGTGGACTTTTTTTAAAATACATCGTATTCTCTGTCTTACCTGTTGTAGTTGTAGACCAGTAAACTTTATGAAAGAACAGTGAGGAAATGCTTCCAAGTTTTACGTAAGAGTCAATTACCTATTGATGCTGACTTAAACCATTTTTGAAATACTTCTGTGTGCCTTTCAGTGTCTCCTGTTGTAATGCTTCCTACGTCAAAATGAGGGGGTTTGTCAGACTGATGTACAGACTTCACCAAGTGTACTATTTCATCAGCAGCAATGTGGCTTGCTTGAGTAGGACCCAGTACCTTTTGTATGACTGGCACTTCCCATCTGAACAAACTATCAGGCTGCTTGTGCAGGTAGCTGATGGATGATCATCTAATAGTCTTGCATTTCTTTGTGGAATACCTGATTTTTAACACCGCATCAATCTGTTTTAAATGTAGGAAAGGGAAAGAGAATTTAAATTATGTGGCATGCTTCATTATCCTGAGAGTTTAAGATTATTTGATGTCGTCACTGTTGTACTTGGGGAAATATGAAACACAAGCCATTTTCTTCACATTAGGACCCCATGTTTTAGCCATGTTGGTATGTCAGGGAGAACTTTCCTGCCTTTCTAATAACACCTGGGGGTTTTCCATATACTGGACCAGTTGGATTCTGACCGTTACCGAAACAGTGACATGAGCTAAATTCCAGAAATAGGGTGAGAGTGGTTGCCCTTGACATTGGGCAGCATTTTGCCAGGTAGGGCATCAAAGAGCTCTCTCAAACCTGAAGTAATTGGGAATCAGGGAGGAAGGTGTTTGCTGATTAGAGTCATACCTAATACAGAGATGGTTGCAGTTATTGGTCAGTTATTATCAACCCAGGACATCAATCCAAGTGTTCTTCAGGATGGTATCCTCGGCCCAACCATCCTCGGGCACTTCATCAATGTCTCTCCATTGTAAGGTCAGAGTGGGGATGTTCACTGATGATTGCACAACATTCAGCACAATTTGTGACTCCTTAGAAACTGAGGCAACGGTGTGCAAATTCAGCAAGACATGGACAATATCCAAGCTTGGGTTGATAAATGTCAAGTCACATTTGTGGCACAGAAATGCTATACAGTGACCATCTCAACTAAGAATATAACCATCTCCCATGATAGTCAATGGTATTACTATCAGAGAATCCACAGCCTCAACATTCTGTTAGTACCACTGACCAGAAACACTGAAACAGAAACTTGCCATATAGATACTCTGGACACACGAGCAGGTCAGAAACCAGGGATTATATGGTGAGTGACTGGCTTCCTGACTTCCAAAGTCTAGCCATCATTTATAAGGCACAGTTCAGGAGTGAATGAACTGCTGTCCACTTGCATGCATATGTCCAGTTCCAATAATGTTCGAGCCCTAGCTTCCATTCATACATGCATGCCATTAACAAGTCTGGAGCATTGCACACCCACACACGCCATTACTGATTCTGCCACAGACTTTCACACTTGACATGCAATTTTGAAGCCATCTAACCCAAAGGAAGTGCGAATTAGTTCCTTTCCCCACCTTGACAAAAGAGAGTCCCTAGTTGTTTGTTAGTAAGGGCTGTATTGCAGCTTTGTTGGGCAAACAGCAGTTAACATGCATTTTTCACAGGTTACATGGTGAGTGGCCCAGCTCACTGTAAAATGTGTGAGCACTTTGGCATCATTGTTGTGTCAACAGCATGAACACACACCAGCCCCAAATGAAGGAAGAGTTTTCCCACCATTGTAGAACTTCAGCTGCATCCTCATGTACCTCCCAACATGCTGCAGCACTATACTTCTCCACAGAAGGTAATGAATTAGTTAAAGGAAAATTGAGGGGCTAAAATAAACAGACATCAGGCTCATTTATCCCTAAGGTAAGATCCACTAATCACAAGAGTGTGACCAAGAACAGACAGACATGCATGTTTTGATAGATCATTCTGCACAGGTTGCTTGCTTTTCGCTAAATAGTCTTCTATTCACCTTTTGTTTCAAAAGCCCACCAGATGCTGCATAGGGGTGAGCGGCCATTCAAATGTCAGCAATGTGACAAGGCGTATGCGTTGAAGCGGGATCTGCGAGAACATGAGCGGGTGCATTCTGGCGAACGTCCATTCGTATGCAATGAATGTGGAAAGGCATTTGCCAGGCCACCATCCCTCCGGATTCACAAGAAGCTGCACCGCCTAAAGGCCATGAACCTCGGTAACCCAAAAGCTTGCCGCTGCAGTGTGTGTGATAAAGAGCTGGCCAACCCAGGCTCGCTGAAGAACCACATGAGGTTACACACAGGTGAAAAACCGTTCACTTGCACCTACTGTGGCAAAGCCTTCAGGCAGATTGGCAATCTTCGGGGCCACCAACGAATCCACACTGGGGAGAAACCATATAAATGTGAGGATTGTGGAGAGTTCTTCTCTCAGTTGCCCGAATTGCGGAGGCACCGGATTTCACACACTGGGGAGGTCTATCTCTGTACAATATGTGGTAAAACATTAAGGGATCCACACACTTTTAGAGCTCACGAACGCTTGCACACTGGAGAGAGACCCTTTAAGTGTAACGAATGTGGGAAGGCATATACCCTTGCTACTAAGCTTCGCAGACACCAGAGAATTCACTTGACTGAAAAACCATTTAAATGTGATGTATGTGGAAAAGGGTACACCATGACCCAAAGTTTAAAGAGACACCGGGCATCCCACAAGAAAAGTGATACACGGAGTTTAGGAGAGGTTGCAGAAGCTATTGCCTCTTTGGAAAAAGAAAGCCCTGGAAACAAAACTATTGCTTCTACTCCAAAGCAGGTTAAGAAAGATGGCTTAAACACTATCAACCAAGAGACTGTTGATTCAGGTGAAAATGAAAGTGTTGTTTTAAACCTTTATGTGCACACCATTGAAATGGTAGAAATCCCAAATACAGAACACAAGGAGAATGCAATACCAAGCCTTGAAAACCAGAACTCTGGTGAATCCACTGTTACATTCCAGCAGGTGAACAGCACTGAAGGAGTGGATAGAGACCCCCCTCAAGATGTTGTTGCACAGGCATTGGTAGGAAGTCAGCAATCTTTCAATGAAGATATAATAGAAATAATTATTCCAGACACTGAGGATTATGGAGAAAGAGTCACTACCAGAAACTGTGTTACAGTAGAGCAGGAGAAATTGGCCAGTAACACTGTGGTTATTGAGGAAGATATTGGATTTAATTCTGTTGCTGAGATTATAGAGATATCAACTGGCAGTTGAATTCCAATACCATTGTTTTTGTTAGTATTTCTGACTTTGTATTAAAATTTGTGAATGATATGTTAATTTTTTGGATTTATTTCACGATGTATGACTCATTTGCCCAGAAATACCCATGTCTACGTTGATATGACAGTGGAAGTTGCACCTTTGCACTCAACTCCCGTTGATGGCTTTGCGGGTGCAATTACTTAAATCCTTTTTTAATATATGAATCACCTTTTTTCCAATGGATTTACTTATTATCCAATTTAAAAGTTGAGAATTGTGCTTAATAATGAGCATGTGGAAGAACAGATTCAGAATGTTGTTAGTGGGGTTTAATCAAAACTTTACCCGTCTGGGATTTCTGGAGTATCTATAAATGTTCAGTGCATAGCCAAGAGTTAAAAGCAAAATGTTGCAAAACAGTCAGAAATAGCTAGTTTAGCTGAATGAGGCCAGCTGTCAGGGTCAATGCAAGAAAAGTCAAACACCAAAGGGAGCTCTAATTCACACTGCATGAGAAAGAGAGTGCAAATTGGTTGGTAAATGGACTCTGGTCAAGGCATTGTCATGTTTCCTCGTGCATTCCACAAGTGACCCCATGCTTTTTGTTTAATTGAACAATGTGCAAGACCTAGACATGTTGTTTATGTTTGCAGAGGATAGACTCTCTATGAATATATATATATGCAAGCCCAATTGATAAACTTAAATTAGTTAGTGTAATTTTCACACACTGTTCATTGTTGAGTCATGCTAGTCAATTGTGGGCTAACATTTAATGTAGGACCCACTGTCTAAATTTTGTAACTCAATTTTTTGTAATGGCTGTATCCTGTTGGTAAAGATACTATTTGTGCACTGTGAATTGTTGCTTCCTGCTGAGATTTGGTATTCTTGCTAAGTTCAAGTTAACCTTCAACATCATGTCTCCTTTTTTTAAGCAATAATCAAGTTCTGTATTATCAAGCAACTAAGTACCTCGTTGTTAAGTATAATAAATGCTGGAGTTATTTCTTCGTTATGACCTAAAAATAATTGGTCTATGCTTGTATCAGATGCATCACAATTGTTAATAGTTCAGTGTGAAAATCATTGTTGTTTGTAAGGTATGTATGTATTGGTTAACAAGATGTGGAGCTGGATGGACACAGCAGGCCAGGCAGCATCAGAGGAGCAGGAAAGCTGACGTTTCAGGACTGGATGCTGCCTGGCCTGCTGTGTTCATCCAGTTCCACACCTTGTTATCTCAGACTCCAGCATTGGCAGTTCCTACTATCTAATGTATGTATTGGTCATCTGTTTCTTCCATGACACTGACAAAAGCTGAATTGCTGTAGCCCCAAAAGTACTCCACAATGTAGATTTGTTAAACTGAGCTGCTGAAATGATTCCAAAGTGCAATCTCCTATGATTCAGGTAACAACAATCAGTTAATTTTAATTAATTCATTCAATTATTTCTACCACTGAACTAGTAATGCAGAAGACTCTGACAAATGATCAGAGGAAGTGAGTTCCAAACCAACAAGGCAGTTTGCAAGTTTTGAAATCAGGTCAAATGTTAAGGAAATAAAACGTGGTATCAATAAAAGAGGCAGTATTGTCTTAAAAATCAACTCATTCATGACAATGGATGACTCTTTCTTAACTCAGAGCAAAATGCGTTTTGTACAGGACCATTTGCAGTGTTCCGAGAAGTCTGGCTATCATCACTTCAGGGTACCTAGGAGCAATAAATGCCAGCCTTATAAGTGAGATTCACATCCCCAGAATTATCTTTTTTAATGGTTATCTTGAAGAGATTATTCATTGGAGATACCAGTTTTTTTGAAATAATAATTGATGCATAAGCATATCAGAATGTTAATTTAAAACAATAGTGTGTAAACATGAATGACTGGTGTTACTTTCCATGATGTCTAAAAATTAAGGTGTGATATATTCTAATCAAAAACACACACCATTCTTTGAATGGGAGTTTCTTTTTACTAGTATGGAACATATATATCAAAAGTAATTGTCAAATGAAAAGGATTGTGAATCTGGTGTTGCAATACAAGACTCTTTTGGAGCTCCTGACGGATTAACTTAAAGCGATAGCAAATCGTTAGAGTACTTGGTCTGGTCTCTGAAAATTCACTGTTTTTCATCATATTTTGTGTCATTGACAGATTTAGCAACAGAGCTCAGAAGTTTAGCTCCTCTCAGAATTTCCTAAAGTGGCAACTGATAGCTGTCACACATAATTGGCGAGTTACAGAAGGATGCAGTATTCACAGAAGAATTCATTCTTCTCCGGCCCACACCAGCACAAGTTTCACCATGGCACAGTATGACGGCTTGATCTGAATCTACTCCAGCCAGAACCGAGATCAAACCCCATACTGTAGGGTGGCACAGTTTGATCTACAACAGTTGTTGAGTACACCATTGTGGATCAAACGATCCTTACGCCTTAAGGAGTCAGAGATACTATGGCAACATGTACTTTGATTTGCATGTTGTGTCTAGAGTTATGGATAGTGATGGTCGAGGCTCCGATTTTCTTTCAATGGCACGGCTGACTAGGAATCTCTTCCTTCTACCTACAGCCTACCATTGGCTCATGTTGGAAGGTTTTGGAGGTGGATATGGAGCCTGTTTGGCCTCATTATGAACTCCCTTTCTTGACCAAGTCCTCCAAAAGTAGGGATGGCACTGTTCTCCTGGGGGATCATTAGGGCTATCAAATCTGTGCTAATGTTTTTGTGCACATAAATTGACCTAATTCCACTCTACTGACCATTCTTCTACCCTTTAAAAGGAAATCATTTTTTGTGAAAAGTCTAAATTCTAACTGCCCTCTGTATAATTAGTTTTCTAAACTCCATATTTAATTTTCTCATTATTTCAAAAATGTTCTCCTTGTTACAGTCCAGTAGAAATAAGCTATTAGTGTTTGCCTGATAACACCCCTTCTTGATCTTCAAGGGCTGAAACATGTCATTATTCAGTTCTAAGAGAATAGCCCAAAGTTCTTAAGTCTTCCCATCACTGTGATCCTTCATCCCCAGTAACGTGCAAGTGAATATGTTTGTGTTGATTTTCCTGTAATGTGATTTGTAAAACTATTCATTACATTCCCAACCGTGGCCCAAGTTCTTGAACTCATTAAAATTTACGTCTTTGCTTTTGCGTTCTATGCCTGTGGACACTATCCATATGAATAATTTTGCCTTTTTGTTGCGTTATCTATTCTTTCACCTTTCGGCACCTGTGTATTGTCACAATAAAATTCCTCATTTTTATTTTTAAAATTCCCTTGTATTTCAGAAATATTTTCTTTCCCTTTCTCCTCATTTCCTCAGGCTCATTAAGTTAATTTTTCCAAGTGTTCACTAATTTCATTCTTCATTTTAAGTCTAATAATTTACCAAAATTATAAGGTAAGGTGCTCTGCTCGGTACTATCCTGGCTTGAAGTGACTTCCCCTTCAGGTGGTGGCGGGAGAGGGGGTACACTTGTCAATCTCCAGTTCTTCAGCATGGTTTTTTAAAAAATTACAGTGAGGTCTTCTGTCAATTATAAGCAGGTTGTTCAGTACTAATTCATGACACTCAGTTCTGATCCATAATTAGCCATTATCTACAGAGCAGTTCATATCCCATCTTAGTCAGACTACACTGAAGTACAGAGAGCAGTTTTTAAGCACTAAATGTTGCAAAGGATATTCTGACTTATGAAGGAGCACAACATGGATCCACTAGAATGATACCTGGACTCCATGGTTAAACTACAGAGAGATTACACAAAGGTTGTATTTCTTTGAATTCCCATTACTAACAGTACCTTTCCAAACTGGTAAATTCTATTTACTAGAAGGACATGAACAGCAGGCACAAATTCACCACCCCTGCCAGTTCCCATCCCAGCCATCCTATCTTAGATCTATATCACCATTCCTTCAGTTGCTGGGTCAAAGTCTTGGAATCACTAAACAAGAAATGGAATGTATCTACACCATTAGGGTTGTGGTTCAAGAAGGTGTTGCTGGGACGCAGCCTTATCAAGGGCAACTAGGTATGGGCTATTCTGGCTCAGTCAAAGATATCCATATCCTGTGAGTGAATTTTAAGAAAAACATTTAAAAGGTTATCGAGTGATTTGACCAAAGTTTTCATTCCCCTTAATATCTTGTATAGGATGTGTACAGAGAAACTATATCTCATTTGGGAATCTAGGATAGTGCTTTTTCAAGCATTGTGATACACATTTTCAAAAATAAATATTAACATCTGAACAAAAGATGTTGAGATAAGAATTAAGGTATTTATCTGTGTTTTACTCAGTTGTCAGTAGATAAGAGCAGGGATGTTTCGGATATAGGGATAGTTCAGACAGCAGCATTCCTGAGAAAGGGAGGAGACTTGCAGGCTGACGATTCCATGAGAAAAAGCATGTTTTAATGCTGCATAACTGCTATTGAGGTGCCACACCATATCTTCTCCAGGTAAGTTTTTTTTTCTTTTGCTTTTCCTATGTAAATTCTAGGTTGCTGTTTTCATAAGCCCTAGCTTTGTGAATGTGCCATGATTTTGCTCAGATGTCAGCTACACTGCGACTTTAGTTGGTACAAGTATCTCGTGTAAGCTTCTCTCCTACACATACCACATACCAATGATGTCACTAACTCCATGCCGACACCCAGCTCCAGCTCTACACCTAGCCCCAGACCTCCCCCTCACTGAGGACAAACGGTCAGTCCTCAGCAAAGGACTCACCTTCATTCCCCTGCGCTCACACATCAATGAATTCTGTTCACATTTGGATGTCAAACACTTTTTCTGCTGCCTCCCCCTCTGCGCCTATTTCTTTAACCATGAGTCTAACCCATCCTCTACAGACCCCTTCTCCCACCTACAACAAACCTCATCCTCGTGGACACCACCCCCAAAGCCTCCTACCCTCCCTTAACCTCGTCGTTTCCAACTGCCATCATGATATCACTCGACTCAATCTCTCCACCCCCCCCCACCCCCATTCACTCCAACCTCTTCCCCATGGAATGCGCAGCCCTCCGCTCCAACCCTAAGCTCACCATCAAACCCACAGAAAAGGGGGGCGGGGGCGCAGTAGTGGTATGGCTCACTGACCTTTACATAGCCGAGGCCAGGCACCAACTCTGACACCTCCATGCCCCCTCGATCATGGCCCCATCCCTGACCACCAAACCATCATTTCTCAAACTATCCATAACCTCATCACCTCAGATGACCTCCCAACCACAGCCTCCAACCCCATTGGTCCCCAACCCTGCACCGCCAGTTTCTATCTCCTTGACAAAATCCACAAACCTGACTGCCCCAGGCAACCCATTGTCTCTGCGTGCTCTTGCCCCACTGAACTCGCCTCCTGTTACATTCACTCTGTTTTCTCCCCACCTATGTCCAGGACACCACCCACACCCTCCACCTCCTCCAAAACTTGCAATTACCTGGTCCCCAACACCTCATCTTCACTATGGACCTCCAATCCCTGTACACTTGTATCCATCACACGGATGGCCTAAAAGCCCTACACTTCTTCCTCTCCCACAGGCCCAGCCAGTCCCCCTACACCAACACCCACATCTGCTTAACCAAACTCGTCCTTACCCTTAACAACTTCTCCTTTAACTCCTCCCACTTCCTACAGACTAAGGGGGTGGACATGGGCACCCACATGGGCCCAAACTATGCCCAGGATAGTAGGATACATGGAACAGTCCCTTTTCTGCTGTTACACTGGCATTATCCCCCACCTCTTCCTCCTCTACATCGATAACTGTATCGGTGTTGTCTCATGCTCCCAATAGGAGCTTGAACAGTTCAATTAATTTTACTAACACCTTTCACCCCAAGTTCAAATTCACCTGTACCATCTCCGATACCTCCCTCTCCTTCCTGGACCTCTCCATCTCCATCTCTGATGACCACCTCGAAACTGACATATTTCAAGCCCACCAACTCCCACAGCTATCTGGACTATACCTCCTCTCGCCCACCTTCCTGCAAGAATGCGATCCCCTACTCCCAATTCCTCTGCCTGCACCACATCTGCTCCCAAGATGGGGCATTCCACTACCACATATCCCAGATGGCCTCCTATTTCAAGGACTGTAACTCTTTCTACCCGACTCCCCGACCGGTGATCGAAATGCCCTCAACCGCATCCCTTGAGTTTCCTGGACCTCTGCCCTCACATCCCCACCCCCCCAACAAAAATAAAGACAGAATCCCCCTCGTCCTCATACCAGCCCACCAACCTCCACATCAAACATATCATTCTCTGCCACCTACATTCCAACTCCGCAACCAAAGAGATATTTCCCTCCCTATCTGCCTTTCATAGTGACCACTCTCTCCACAACTCCCTCGTCCGCTCCACACTCCCCATTAACCCCACCACCCCAGGCACCTTACCCTGCAACTGCAGGAAGTGCTACACTTGTCCCTACACCTCCCACCTTCCCTCCATTCAAGGCACAAAACAAACCTTCCATATCACATAGGGGTTCAGCTGCACATCCATCAACTTGGTCTACTGTATCCGCTGCTCCCGATGTGGCCTCCTCTACATTGGTGAGACCAAGCATAGA